CTGCATACGCCGGCGTGGAAGCTTCAGAGGAATCTGAGATTGTTTGAGGAAGCACGCGGAGCAGTGGGCAGCCTGAGCAGGGACCCAGAGCCCGAGGTTCCTGGGCTGCCTGCCTCCTTCAAGGCCACTCAAGGGCAGGGCCATGGCTGGGATGGCACTCTTAGACCAGCCCATCTCCCCCAGGGACGCCCTCTCCACCCCTACCAGTGTCCTGCCTGACCCTGCCTCTGGGGCCCACTGGTCCAGGCAGTCACTCTGGGCCTCCCTGGCCAGTGTGTGGTGGCCCTTCTGGGGAAAGGGGATCTTTAGGTGGTTGCCCCCTTCCTGGGATTGTCCTGTGTCTTACGAAGGGTCCAGCTGGTTTGCCAAGTGCCTTGAGGTTATATTTGCCCCCAAACACGCCCCTTCTGGGTTTTGAGGTTCCACAGGCTCTTGTCCCAGCCCAAGCCCAAGCTGGGTAGTCTCCGAGGGTACCACCCTGGTGTCTGCAGCAGCCAGCTCTGGCCTTGCACTGCCCGCCCTGCCCCTCAGCTGTGGGGTGTCCGGGGGAGGGCCCTGGGTCGCTGTGGAGTTATCAAGTCTCCTCCAGGTCCTGCTCCCCAGGCTGACCCTGCACCCCCTTCTCACCGGGGGAGCGCAGCAGGGTCAGATGTGCAGCCTTCCCTGGGGAGATACTGGAGCCCTGCTCCCCTCCGACCTGTCCCTACTTCCTTCCGTAGTGGGCAGGGGACAGAGAGCTTCTGGGAACAACTCAGTTGCACCTGCTGCTACCTTTGATGCTACCAGGACTGCCACCTCCAAGTGTGCACAAGGCACTTGGTGACCAGGCAGGGCATGGCCGGTGGGCAGAGGTGGACATCACCCTCTCTCCCTGCAGGTCACGGGCCCTGACTCTCTGACTCTGGGGGAGGACAGCATCCACAGCCTGGACTTTGCATCTGAGCCCAGCCTGGACCTTCCTGACTACCCGCCCAGTGGCCTGCACGCGGCCTACCCACCATCCCCCACCACTCAGCGCCACTGACACCTTCTCGGGTGCCTTGCGCTCCCTGAGCCTCAAGGCTGCAAGCCGGCGGGGTGGGGATCACATGGCCCTGCAGCCCCTGCGCTCCGAGGGTGGGCCCCCCACGCCCCACCGCAGCATCTTCCCCTCCCATGCGCTGCCCAACCGCAACGGCAGCCTGTCCTATGACAGCCTGCTGAACCCTGGCTCGCCTGGGGGCCACGCGTGCCCGGCCCACCCCTCGGCGGGTGTGGCTGGCTACCGTGCTCCCTACCTGCATGCAGGGGCAGTGGGTGACCCCCCGCGGCCCCCGCTCCGCAGCTTCAGCCCCGTGCTGGGTCCCCGGCCACGGGAGCCCTCGCCAGTGCGCTACGACAACCTGTCCAGGACCATCATGGCCTCCATCCAGGAGCGCAAGGACAGGGAGGAGCGCGAGAGGCTGCTGCGCTCTCAGGCCGACTCACTCTTCGGAGACTCGGGCGTCTACGATGCGCCCAGCTCCTACAGCCTGCAGCAGGCCAGTGTGCTGTCTGAGGGCCCCCGCGGCCCGGCGCTGCGCTACGGCTCCAGGGATGACCTGGTGGCTGGGCCCGGCTTCGGAGGCGCCCGCAACCCGGCGCTACAGGCCTCACTGTCCTCGCTGTCCAGTGCCGTGAGCCGGGCGCCACGGACCTCCTCCTCCTCCCTGCAGGCCGACCTGACTAACAGCAGTGCCCCAGGGACCCGGCCCCCCAGTGGCTCGCACAGGTCGCCCGCACGCCAGGTCCCTCCGTCCCCTCCCGGCACTCCTCGCTCGCCCTCCTACGGGGGCCCCAAAGCCGTCGCCTTCATCCACACGGACCTCCCGGAACCGCCGCCCTCACTGGCCATGCAGAGGTGGGTGCTGGGGTGGCAGTTGGCTTCCTGGCACAGGGCAGCTCTCTGGCCGCCTGCAGGACCTCTTGGCCAAGCTCATGTGGGTTGCCCGGGAGGCCTGTGGCTGCCTAGCGGGGAGGGCCTCACCCACCTTGAAGGCTTCTGGTGGCCTATGTGAGGGCTGCCCAGTTCCAGGGTTTCCCAGCAGGTCTGGGAACGGGGGCAGAAGGATTGAATCTTGAGCCCAATGCCCTACATTCTGCCCCCACCGCACAGACCCAGTGTGTGGGAGACCCTGGTGCCACTGGCCCCATCCAGAAGGCTGAGTCAGGGGGATGTCACCCCACAGAAAACATGCCACCCTGGGTGCACACAGGCCCAGGAAGCAAGGGCTTCCCTGCTCAGAGATGGGAAAGCTGAGGCTCAGAGTGGGCAGCAGGTCCCAGGCCCCAGAGGTGGGTGCGGGCTGGCTGCCTGTCAGGGTCAGGTCCAAGTACGAGAGCTGAGCACCTGCTGTGTGCCAGCCCCATGCTGGACATCACCAGGCGTCAGCCAGCTGCTGGGAGCAAGGGATGGGTTGGCCAGGAGGTTGGTGTTGTGGGTGCAGGTCAAGAGGGTGCCAGCCAAGAGGCAGCCAAAGGAGGGAGGGGCTCCTGCCCACATGAATGTTTGGGCAGCAGTGTCGACCACACCATTGGTCAGTGCTGGATAGGCTGGGGGGCAGAAGGGCAGCCCCTCGTTTTCCTAGGAGGGAGCAGGGAGGAGGCCACCTAGTCACCTCTGGGCTCCAAAGCTCGAGGCACCAGGACAAGGCAGGGTCCAGGGTCTCAACTGGCCAGCGTCCCTCTGACCTCCCTGTATTGTGTGGTCTGTGCCAGTCCAGTGGGAGTGACCCAGTGGCTTGGGAGGCCATTTTGGTGTCTCTCTGTCCTGTGACAGCAGGGCCCTTCCCCTGCAGGCTCTGCGCCCTGACGCAGCTCCATGTGAGAGCTTTTGCACTCAGATCAGGGGCTGCCCAGGGTTCCATCTGTGTCTGTGTCCTCTGTCCCATTGCCTCTGCTGGCCTCTGTCCTGCCGTGGTCCCGTGTTCACCGTGTGCGTGCGTATGTCTGCTTATTTTGATGCAGGGACCACCCTCAGCTGAAGACCCCCCCAAGTAAGCTTAATGGGCAGTCCCCGGGCCTGGCCCGCTTGGGCCCTGCCACCGGCCCCCTGGGGCCCTCCGCCAGCCCCACGCGGCACACGCTCGTTAAGAAAGTATCCGGCGTGGGTGGGACCACGTACGAGATCTCGGTGTGAGGACTGACTGCCACTCGTCGCCGTGGCACCATGGGAGCCAGGAAGCCCCAGCGGCTGCCCCCCTCCCAACTTCTCTGCCCCGGGAGAGGAGGCCCAGGCTTGGTGTGGACGCATCGGCGGGAGAGAGAACCACGCCTCCACGAGCCTATCCCTCGTCCTCGGCCCGGCCACCCACCCATCTGCTCACCAGGGCACAGCCCAGACAAGGGCCATGAGGCTGCAGGATCTATGTGCTGGCCCCATGGGCGGGGCCAGCATGGGGGCTGGACTGCACCTGTGCCCCTGAGATTGTCACCAGGCCAGTGCCCACCCATTTCCCTTACAGATGGGTCCTCCCAGACCGAGGACCCTGCCGCCCGGCTGCTCCTAACCCTCTGGAAGCTTGTGGCTTGGCAAGGCCTTCTCTTCTGCGGGGAGTCCAGGCCCAGCTCTGGGTTTTGAGGGACCGTGGGCAAACGGGCAGCCAGCTGTGGGTGGGGTCCTGGCTCCGTGTGTCTCGTCTGGCCCAGCTGGTGGGCGTGTCCCCGTGTCTGTGCGCTGAGCTGCCCTGCTGCGTCCCATGTGTTAATGCTCAGGCCCTGCTGCTCCCACTGCCGGGAAACTCGCTTTAATCGAAGCCTTAACCTCTGCTTTATGCTCTTGTGGGAGGCTCTGGGGGCCGGGGGAGCAGCCACAGGGGGCCCAGAAGACCCCCACCCAAGGCACGCAGCATCCAGGCCCCGCTGGAGCCTCCGCGCCCATGTGGGAAGCACATCGGGGAGGGTCGGCGTTTTGTCTGGCGCCAGGGACCCGCGAGTAAGCACACGGCAGCGTCCGCTTGCGTTGTGTCTGTTTTATGTTTTTATATCTACATCTATATATCTATAATTTTATTAAAAAAAGAAAAAGAGTCATTTTGATCCTTTCCTTGAGCCCCTGGCCTGGTGGGGGGAAGAGCGGGTCCAGCTCCGGGAGAGGCCGCTGACTTATGCCGAGTTGGAGGCCGGGGAGGTGGGGGCTGGCCGGCTGGTCTTTGGCTGACGGGCGTGAGGCTCCCCTGGGTCTGCGTCATCCCTGGCAGTGACAGGCTGTTTGGAGAGCGGCTGGGGCTGCAGCAGCCTCAGGGGCCCCCGGGGCTCCGGGAGTAAGGAGTGCCCGCTGGCTGGAGGCCTGTGGGGCCACCGCCACGTCCTGTAGCTGCGGCCCCTGGGGCGGGGGCAACAGGAGCACACAGGTTTCCAGAGCCACGTGGGAGGTGCGCGGGCCTCGGGCGCCCAGTGGGGGTGGTCCTGCCTTGCTGACCTCCACTTTCTGCTTCTTTCTCATGGGACGCTC